ATTTTACTCCATTTTTGAATTACTAGCACCTTCCTTTTCCACCCCCAAAAATGTATAAAATTTCTGAAAGTTTCTTAAGTTCGATATTAAAAGGTTTACATAACCCTTACTATTTAGCATCAATAAATCCCATTTTTCACGGACTTTCATTTGGTATAAAATTCATCATATCACCTATTTGAAATTATAGCGTTACCCCCCTGGAATAATATTTTTTCCAACCGTATATATATAAATGTTGACTCTTTCAGGTGACTATTAATTAAAAGGTAATTAGCGAATATTCGTCTAACCATATGAGACAAAAATTCGAAAAGTTCAGGTTAGCCTCTTCGGTACAGATCGTATCTACAGTGAAAATTTTAGCAAGATCAGAGCCCAAAAAACCTTCTTTGAACAACTGGTTATTTAGAGATCCTATCAAGTTTCGTAGCAGATTCTTTTTCCTTACCATAATCCAGAGATTCTGAAGAAAGAATTGTTCCTGTTTCGAAATCATTTTGAACTTCTCATTCAGTTATACGAGTATTTCCTCATTTGTACATTCCTACTTCAATTATCCGAAGTTACATGTATTTTAATTTCGTGGAGTCACGACACTAACGAATGAGTTCTCCCACATACTGTTTTTCGAAAGTAGAAAAAGAATTTCACTGTGTATTGAACCTGAAAGTGCTACGTTGTGAAAGTATTTAAGAACTTTGAATATATATGAACAGAAACTTGGAAGTGTACTCCATCACAAGTACGAAAATCATTTTATTCGATAGACCTATAAGGGAGATACTCAAATTTCTTGTTTCTATAGTGACTTTTAGGATACTCTATACATATATAATATCATATTTGTTGATTAGTTATTTGTTGGAAAGAGACCACATGTTGAAAGCACAATAAAAATGAGAGAGTGCAATTTTACTCACTATCAAGAGCAGTTATTTTCCATTAGTTGGCTTATTTTTTGAGTTATAGGAATTTCTGATCCGGGTGAAATTGACCTTATTAACTCCTATAAAAAGCCTTTTTTGCCTAATTAGTTGCTACATTTCGTAGTGCTGAGCAAGTACGTCTTAATAGAAATGCATACTGTTTAGTACTACGGAATGTAGCAACTAATTAAACAAATAAGCTTTTTTTTATAGGAATTAAAGAGGTCAATTTAATTCCGAATCGAAAATTTCTTCGGTCAAAACTCCGGTATCTCTAATATTTGACTGTAATTAATAGATAACCATGAATTTCGTTTTTAATGATCGGACATATCACAATGTGTTTTTTTTTAGTTTTCGAAAAACTTAACCTAATGATTTGCCTTCCGGCAATCTCGGATGAATTCAAATTTTATAGTTTATCCAATCATATTCGATGATTTAATTCAATTTTGAAATAATTTTCTTAGATAACAGCTGATGGTAGTTTTGATGTGCAAAATAATCCAGGTGAACAAGAACTTCTTGTTTATCCATTACTAAAAACTGAAGTTTATGTTGCATTATCATGTTTAATGACACATGGAAATTTTATTTTAAAAATATTTACTATTTTTGAACAAGTAACTATTGATTTAATTTATCTACTGTATCGAACATTTCGTCAGGTAAATAAAATAATTTTGTTTTTACTTCATTTTATTTTTTTATTATTATAAATTATACAGATATCAATGTTTAAACCACAAACAAGTAAAGTAAGAATGATTATTTAATTGTTTAGAAAGAATAAAAAAGAAAATGTTTCTTTTTTAAGAAAGGAAATTCTGAAATGTATGTTATATGTATTGATTTTAATCGTGATAAATTTACAAATTCTTTTTCCGATAATCTTCAATTAAATTCTCTACCATATTCATTATCATTTCTTAATCAACTTATTCAATGTTCACAATTATTTCAATTCTATCAAATAGATACAATAGAACATAATCTTAATTATTTTCATAATCGAAATCGAAAATTTAATAAAAAATTAAATAAAATAAAAACTCAGATGCTTAATAAATTTCTTGATCAATGTCAAATTCGACAATTATTATCAAATGATCGGCATTTATTAAAAACAAATATAGAATCTCAACATATTCAATCAAACAATCATCGTATAACTCGTACAGGTACATTTAATAATCAACATCAAATTGATATTGACATTATTCAAAATAAAATTCAAAATGGATTTTTTTGTTTAATATGTTCAAATAATAAAATCAATGATTTATGTCATACATGTCAAATATTATCTCAAGTAATTATTGACCAATATTCATCAATATCTCATATTTATATTGGTCAATTAATTGCTAATAAACAGATAGTTATTGATTGTATATTTGGTAAACAAACAAAAAATATTCGAAATTCATGTTTTTGTAATAGATATTTACTTGAATTATGTTGTAAAATTGATATTAATACGGTTTCATTAGTAAGAATAAGCTAGTTTTTTGTTTTAAATTAAAGTTTAGGTTTTTTTTGTATAGAATGAAAATACAATTGATTTGCAATCAATACGAAATTCATCTTCAATAGAAATTTCAAATGAACAATTTGAACAACTTCAACGATTTGCACGTGATTATCAAATAAATGTAAGTTTCATGCGAATATGTATGTTCAAACGTACATCAAGGTCTTTATGAATAGAAATTTGAATCTTTGATTATAAAGGTAATTGAAGATCAGTAATTCAATCTAGGTTTCTTTTTCTGAATAAAAAAGTTCTTTGAAGTGAAAAATGAAGAATAAAAATATCAGTTTACAAATAAAGAAAGATTTATGAAATATTTTATTGTGTAAAAGGACAATAGATGATTTTTAATTTTGCAAGGTGAGATGAAATTTCCTGCATCTCATTTGTAGTTCTTTTGACAAAGAGTTCCAATCAGTATATTTGCCATTGAAATAGGTTAAACAGTGAATCTCACTAGAAATAATAAGACAGGAAGAGGAAACTTTAAAATTGATGAAATCTATTGTACTTTCCTTAATAGAAAGTGTCATGGACTGCCTATATAATATCTAAGAGCTACAAAAGTGTTTTTGATGAGACATGTGGCAAGATAATTGATATTCTTTTGGAATGTCAAGTTAAATTTAAAAACACGCAACATCTTTAATGGTTGGTCAGTGTTCAGAAGTACTATCTAATAAATATTCAGCTACTTATTTATTCTAATTGATTTGTTTCGAACAAGCAATGCTAAAATTAAAAACACTTCGATGAGCAGCTATTTTATCTTAAGCTCTAGCTTATAAATATTCATAGCTATTTAAATACCACTTGACTACTTATTTATTTCGGTTTGATTTTTGTTTTGAGCAAGGAAGGAAAAGGTTGAATACAAGTGAATGAATGAGAAAAGAAAATCTCATTAAATTGTTTCTTTATTTAAATTGAGTCGAAAGAAGATGAGTCTAGATATATTTCTAAAATGATATAAAATGAGAATATTAAAAGAATAGAAAAATGATTAATTTTAAATTATTAGAGCCTTTCTTGTAAATTAATCAGTGTATAAAAAACAATAAATCGATAATAGACATTCAAGTATAAAGTAGTAAAATTTATCAAGAAGAGATTAGACTGTAACACAAAGAAATAATCTAACGAAGGAACATCTCCAAATGTCCGATCACTTTTTGATCGACAATGTACTCAGATGATAAACTATGGTGAGTAGTGTCAAAGCCTAAGGTGATTTGATTGCCTGAGTCTTTGTTCTTGACCTGCCGAATGGTTACTCGGTTTGTTAACCGCAAGCTTTGATCCTTCTCAAGTCACCATGAAAATTGAATTTCAATGATTTTAGTACTTCACATCTAGAGAAATCACTATACGAGGAATGATTGCCTTTTTTATGAAAAAGTTTTCAACATTCATATCTCAAAATAGACCATAGAAAAATCAGTGAAATTTTTGCAATGAACTAATATCATTGAGAGCTTTATTTGTACAAAGTTTCAAGTCGAAACTCAAAATTCAGGTGTCATAGTGATATGAGGAGCACAATAGATTTGGGTTAACAAATACAGTAAAAGTTCGATATGTTAAGGACGAAGACTCAGACAATCGAACCGTCTTAGACTTTGATACTACTCACTATAGCCTATCATCTAAGTACAGTCTCGATCAAACACTTCGGTACGTTCCCTAGTAAGAGCTATTTAATATCAGTAAAAAAAACAGTCAACCATAACTAAAAAATAAATGAATATAAACCAATATGCAAGCAAATCAGCTATTTAAATCTTTTAACATAATATAGATTATTTTTAAAAATATTTCTTTTGAGAAGCTATGCATTGGTGTTTTGTTCAAATTTCTTTTAATTAACTTGAATTCTTAATTAAACAAAATTTTCTCTTAGTTACAATCACAAAATGGTGTTTATTATGTACAGTCAGCACCTATTCTTACTCGTTTACAAGCATCAGTAATTTATGTTCTGACTCGTACATTTGAACAAACATCAGTTTATGTCATTCCATCATCGTCGCCACATTTACTATTCGTATTTGAAACATTTCAAAAAACAATAAAACATGAATATGAAACCATTGGACAAGAAATATTATCATGTAAAAACTCAACACTATTACAATTTATTCATATTTATCAATTATTAGGTAGATTTAGAATTTAATAGAAAGAATCAAATAAGAAATTAACTTTTTGTGTTTTTTTTTTCTTAGATCAACAATTTGCTTTTAATTTAATACAAGCAAATAATATATGTTTACAATTGAAATATGTCAAATAAGATTCATATATATTTTTTCAATAGAAATGAATTGTTAACAACATGAATTATTAGCTTCTGTATTTTTGAGTTTAATTCTATCATTTAATAAATGATTTGTATTATTTGTATGTAATTTTTTATCAAGTATAGCTTGAGCTGTTGTCATAAAAGCTAATTCAACATTTTGACCTGTTTTAGCTGATGTTTCAAGAAAATAAATTTGATAATTTTGTGCTAAACGTTCACCAGCTTCTCTTGATACAACACGTTGATATTTATCAACTTTATTTCCAATTAACATTATAATTGTATCATTATGAGTATATTCTTTTATTTCATTTAACCAAACTGATATATTTTCAAATGATGAATAAGATGTTACATCATAAATTAATAATAAGGCATGTGCATCACGATAATAAGCAGGTGTTACCGATCGAAAACGTTCTTGACCAGCCTTTGTTTTTCAAGAAAAATAAAATACAAAAAAGAAATAGCAACAAGTTAATTATCTATCAATATTTCATCAAATCAAGCATGATTCCTTTTCAACAGACAATCTATATTTTGATCGATTCAGTTTATAGTATAATAAAATCTGATTGATTCTTTTGATAAATAAAAACAGAAACGTTCTAAGTAATAGATTGAAGAATAACATCGGCCGTTCTTTCAAGCATTATCATGAAACTAGGAAACGGGTAAGAAATCGATGAAGAAGATTAATTTCTTTGCAAAAATCAATAGACAAAAAAACTTTAGTAGTAGTAAAAGCCATCATTATCATTCATTTATCCGTTTTATTGTTACATACTTATTTGAATGGATTTGGAAAAAAAAATTTTCTCTCTATTTATTCTCTTTATTTTTTTTATCCAGATTGTGATATTCGAGACATTCACTTAGGATAATCGATAAACGGAATAGAAATTTTCATTCTGATTGTAATTCTTTGCAAGGTTACAGATTGAAAAACAACACTAATACACTTACTGTATCAAATATTTGTAAATTAATTTTTCTATTCCCAAGTGTTACAACTTTATGTCGATAATCAATACCAACAGTACTATGAAAATTACTATTCAAGAATGTTTCATTATCAAATCGTATGAGTAAACATGTTTTACCTATAAATTCATTAATAAAAGGATATTGTCATATAAACACTAACTTACCGACGCCACTATCACCTAACAACATGACTTTAAATTGATATTGATTATTACTAAGTGATGGTTCAGCTGAACTCGTAACTTCTTGTTTGATTTCATGAATACATTTTGATGGAATTTCATAATGTTGGGTTGTTAATGGACCCATATTAATGTAGCCTTTTCCATGAATTGTAGCTGATGATTGTTCATTAGGAATGATTGATGTGAATGTTGAAATCTTTGATGTATTAGATTGATTCATTAATTGAAATTTTTACTAAATTAATTATGAAAGTTTATAAATACGAAAAAAAAGACATTAACTGTTCGCAAAAGAGATATAATGTGTAGCTGTTCGAGATAGTAAATTACATATTTATTAGATTATTATATTATTAAAGACAGGAAAAAAAGGTCTTGAATTTTGTATTTATGAATATAAATTAACTATTAAAAAAGAAAATAAGATTCATTAATTTTTGTTGACTTCATCGCTTTTATAATCGATATAAAAAAAAGAATAACATACTTCTAGTTTTTCATTGGCATGATGATCATTAATAAATGTTCGCAATGAAAGCTTTGACGATTATTTTTTCTGCGTTGTATGTGCGTGTTGATTAGAATTGGAAAAGAAAAAGAAGGCAAGATCTTGTTATTTTTCTTTCTCTTACCTTTTTTTCTTACTAAACAATAAGCGACAACAAGTTTTCATTATTCTATCCACATTTTTCTACTTTTTACATTGATTGATAATTAACATTTAGCTAAATTATCACATGATTTATCATATATAAACAGTAAATACAATACAGTCATAGCTATCATTAACATTATAACGAGCTAGCCTAGAATAAATAAACTATGGTAAATGAAACAAATCATTCGAATACTGCACCGCATATTTATTCAATTAGGCCAAGAATTAAAAGACTAAACTGATCTCTATATAATGGGGATTGGAAATAGCACAAAAAAAGTGATAGTAATCTTCTATATGAATAACCCGATGCAATTTATTTATCAAAGTCTATCCATTATTGATGACAAAAAACAACAACAAGTAGGAGTAGTTTGATACAAAAAAGAAAAGAAAAAAGAAAGGCACATCAAAATATTATAAATTTTGCAATACACTAGTCAAATGAATTTTTTCTGACGCAATAAATGCAGTTAATTGTTGACATTCTTGTTCAAGCTAGAAAAATGAAAACAGAAAAAAAAGAACAAAGAATTTGACAAAAAAAGAATAAATATTTTACTTGTTTATCAATTTGTGATGGAGATAGATTTGCTAATTGTTGTCGAAGACGTCTAAAAAAAAAGGAATAAACATTTTGATTTAGAACTTAAGAAAAGAAATTTGGCCTTCTGAATTATTTACTTAAGTTTTGCTTTATTATTAAGATAAATTTCTAAGCGTTGTTTAACATTTAGTAAATTATCTTTATTAATAAAAATATTGGTTGATGGTTGAGTTGAATATGGACGATGAGAGATTTGAATTTTATTATCAATTATTTGCCGAGATGATAATGGCATTTTTATTTCATTAGGATTTATTTGAAATGCAGATGGTGGAAGAAGTATTGGTGGTGATGAAGCATCATGTCGAGTATGTGTTGATTGTTTAACACTAATAAATGGAGAATGTAATGAATGATCAATTCTTGGAGGCGGCGGTGGTGATGATGATGATGATGGTGATGTTCGAATATTAATTGTGCGTATTTCAGATTCTCTACAACACAAAAGAAAGCAAAATTTTCGAAAAGATTTAATTTGAATAAAAACTTACGTTTTGTCTATAGCTGAAGTAGAAAATGATTCAGATAAAAATGCAGGTTTTCGCGGCCGTGGTCGATTCGTTATTCTATTAAAAGAATATTTATTGTAATTGAAAGAAAAAAAATTATAGGTAAAAGTCTAACAAGGGAATATATCCAAATGAGTAAGAGCTGGTGAGTAGAAATTGTACATATACGTAGAAGACTCGTAGATTAGAAAGGTACCTATTACTGTTCGATGTAGATACCAAGTTTTGATCGGAATTATGAACAAATATTATTCAATTATTTTGTTTTCAAAAAACTTTCGAAAATCTATCGAGACTGAATTATTTTTCTATTATAAGCGTCTATTCTTTCATTAATCGTATATATCTATATAATATTTGTTCTAACCATAAACTCTATATTTTATATAAAGTATACAATTCGCAAACATTTTGTTGTTAGTAGTTTGTTTACATAAAATTCGTATCAATTGGACTAAGCTAAGTCTAATGTTCTAGAATTTTTTAATCGATTTTTTCACACATATGAATTTTTCTAGGTATTCATGCTTCATATAATAAATATAACAAGAGTTATTATGCTGAAATGGATACCCTAACTTCGCCAATATACATAAGGGTTGCTTCGGTAAATACTCTACATTGTTCGTCCGCATGGAATCATTTGTTTACGTGCAAAAGTGCACTGCTTGTCCGCTAAACATGTGAGAGCGTATTGAAAACAGGTAGAAATTGACGTGAGTTCAAAAGATTTCAATATTCTATGCTCAAACTGTTAAGAATGAAGTATACCTTCGCCAGTTATTGGCAAGCATCTGACCGGCCGCTGAAATACTGATAGAATCTGCTAAAACTTCGGAAATTTTGCGCATTTAGTTAAATTGAGACGTTTATGTAAGCAAAGTTTCAAACACACAATTCAAAAGTATTCTTTTGCTGGAAAAATGAGCTTTTGAATATTCCGGTTGAATGACAACGAGCGTTTGTAAGTTGTTATCGTCTTTTTATAGTCTACAAGTAGCCTACTCATGAACAAAATTAGAGCTCGACAGTTTTAACAATGTGGTATCGCAAAATAAAAATACGCATATCTTACGTTACTCCTAAAAAAGGAAATAGTATTTTTGAAAACTAATTAGTGCATTTTTACGAGGACTCTTTAGGCTACAAAATCTCTATGTAAATTTTTCCCGTGAACATGCTTAGGTTTTCCAAAAAATAGAGTTTCTTCGTTGTTAGTAACGTGGATAAGTACGAATATTGAAACAAAAAATTGTGTTGTAACTGAATGAGAAGTCTAGAACCAATCTAAATTGTTCATATCCTTCTTGGGGCTCACGAGACGATAGAAAAACAAAAATTTCTCGTTCTGGACAAGGGCAAACTTTTGGAAAATCATTTTTTTGGGTCCGATCTTGCTAAAAATTTCATGACGCTGTCCGTGATTTAATAGATCAATTTTATTGATGATAGACTCAGGTTTTGTATATTTAATCATATGAGTTTGACTTACTTTGGCGGACTATTATCAAATTTAACAAGAGCAAGTGGATTATTCGTTATTGGCACAACATTTATATTTCTTTGAATAAAACGTTGTGTTAATTGTTTACGTGCAATTGATTCTTTAACAAATGCACGCCACTTAGCAACATATTTCGAAGCTAATGCATTTCGATCATGATATAACTAGAAAATAATATCATTTATTTTCATATTTATTTATTAAAATATAAACATACATAAACTTGTTGATGAATAAATAAAGCTTGCCGTCTTTGTTTTGTATGATCTGTATAAATAAGAAATTGACGTAAACTATTACGTATAAGTTCATCATGTCGTTGATGTGTTGCTTCATTATAACGAAGTTTTTTTCTTTTGCGATGACTTATATAAATTAACCAGTTTACAAAACACTGAAAAAAATATAATAAAAAGGATATGTTCCAATAGAGCCAATTTTTCCTTACGTTGTTTTCGATTAGATATATATATATATATGAGATGGTTATTAGAAAACTATACGCACTAGACACATTTCTTTCATGTCTTGTCTAAAGATCAATTCAAAACAGTAAGACGCCATAATGATCAGCATACGTTAAAACCTATTCATAACTTTTACTCGTCTCTATCAATCGATTAAACATTGCAAATATCTATTGAGAGGGTGGAGTTAATACTATGAAAATGGCACAAGCAGGTTTTAAGATACGCTGATAACAATGGCATTGTTGAAAAAGCTAGGCTCTCTAAGATTATGCGATTAGTGTTCCAATGAATTTCTGGAAACTTCATGTATATCGTTCTTTTATGCTAATTTTAATTGAATACCCATTTCAAAAAATAATGTACTTCACTGTCCCTTGAATAGCTTTTGACAGAAACATCATGGAGATCTGCGGGTTTCACCAATCAAGAGAGACGACCTGAGACCATCAAAATTTGATTGGTCAGTAGTCGACCTATCTGATGAGTTCTTGGTGGAAACCTTCGAAAACGTTACTCTAAAGCTATTTATTTTCGATTTATTCAAGGGCGACATTTCTAACTTGTTCTATGGGAGAGTTATAAGACTTGTCCTGTGACAACTCCGATTTCAGCTAGGCGATCTGTGATAACCCGGAAAAGCTACTAGACAAGGATGATTCATCTTGTTGAGTCAAATGGTGATAAAGTTTGAAATGATCTGACTCTGCTTTCCCAATATTTCTGCAAGTGCACAATCAGCCTCCATATGTAACGAAGGAGTCGACATTTCAGAAAAATTAACATAAGAGTCCGATCATTTCGAACTTTATCCACACTCAATTCAGCACGGTAGATTACTTCGGCCTAGTAGCTTTTCTGTGTGATCACAGATCAATTAGTTGAAATCAGAGGTTTTAGAAAAAGTCGTATAACTCTCAAATCAGTTAAAACCTGATCCGTTTCGATTTTAAATGTGATATTTGTGATCAACGCAAAAACCGAATCTGTTGAATATAGCTTTGAAAAATTTGAAAAAAAAGACACTTTTCGAAAGTTCTGGCGATACCCAAGAAATCAATAAGGTCCTATCGAAATAGTACGAAACTAAGTGATAGAAAACATCTCTAACAACTCTCTCACGTATTTCCAATCGAAAACAGCGTGCCGAAAAAATGACTTTATCGAAATATATCCTGTATATGAAAAATATAAAATAATAATACTTTTTTTTGTAATTGTAATGCCCAAAATAGTAATGCTCGATGTTTTTCTTCATTTAATTTTTGTTCGGATTGCCATGTTTGTTTCCATTGAAGATAAATTCGACTTACTAAACGCATTCGATCAAACCAAACAGCTTGTCGTTCGAGTAACTAGTTGGTAAAGAAGTATTTAAAAAATAAAATAAAATAAAGTTGATTATTCAAATTTACTCTAATACGCATATCAAAATGATGCTGTTCTTTCCATTGAGAAAAGAATTTTTTTAATAAATTTTTTTCATAAAATATTTTTGAACGTTGTAAAAGAAAACGATCACGTAAATGTTCATTTGTTTTTTGTTTCCATTTGTTATAAATAATTTGTGAATAAAAATGATTTTTTTCTTGTCTATATTTATTTAATTTCATTTCATTTTCGTTATCAATTATAACTTGTTGAATCATCTCATTATTCCAAGCAAGGAGAATTTTACGTTTTAATGACCGATTGTAATGATCAATAGCATATTGAGTTAATTGACGATCATCTTTTTCTTCTTTAATATTATATCGCCATTGACGAAAACATTGTCTAATTAAAGAATAAAGAAATATCAGTAAAAGAACAATGCTTAAAAATAAACGAGATGGTAATTAGATTACAAAAAAGAATATTTCGGACAATTAGTGAAGATCAGAAAACAGTGATATGATGCATGCATAAGGCAATGATTCAAATTGACAAACAAGTTTTAATTTCCTATGTTATGGATATACAAGAAAAACTTTAGAATAGAAGAACTATAGAAGTATTGAGACCTAAAAGCTCTCTCTATAGAGTAACGACATTTTTGATAAATTTTTTACTACTGGAATGGATATTTGCAGAAAAATTGAACGACAGATTTCTCATCTGAAGTTCTGTCTATAAGTAGGTCTGACGAATCTAAAATTTGTCTGAAAAGTTCCAGTCAAAATCAATGCCTCTTTCTTAAAATATTCAATTTTCAAAAATCGATGAGATTTCAGAAGTAGTCTAAAAAATCGGATGTTTGTTGAATGTTTGATATTTCCAGGGATAAAAAAATCGTTTACTCTATTTCCATACCAATACTGCTTGTCCTATGGTAGAAGTTAACCACTTTACGAGATTTTCTGATCGAGCACATTGATAACTAGACTTATGGTATTAAATTCAATTCATTGTATATTAATTCCATAACTAAAACTTATCATAAGCCAAAATTTCGAACAAGAAAAAACAACTATTCATAAAAATTACACAAATTACAGTCTGGACGAGAGCAAGCACTAAAAATCTATTTTTCTTATTTAAATCTAAATGTCGAATACAATATTTCATGATTTCGCTCAATGGACGTCATTACTCGTGACTTACCTACTATGTCTATGATTCATATCAGTTGATATCTTATCAAAATATTACATTTATTTAATATTTAGAGAACTCAGTTTTCAGCTTTGTGTACGATTCAACTGGTCAACGAAGAAGAAAACCAGATAAGAATGTTTGAAAATGGTTATGTAAGTAGAAAAGTTTTGATCATATACGATTCAAATTCAGTTGTAACTTCGTAAATGTTTTATACGACCCTACTTCACATATATATAGTCATAAATTGTCATTGTAACACTTGATGTGTGCATTTTCGATTGACAAGTCTCATAAAGATGAAGAGAAATGAGAGAAACGTTTATATCGATTATTATTCTTTAAATAAGTTACATTTAATTGAATTGTTCAACGATAGTACCACAAATTTCAATTCTATAAACGGGTGATTGAATGTTAATTCAATTTTCAGCATTTTCTTTTTGCATAAGATTAAAGACGACATTGTTCTCTAGAAAACGATATCAAAATCAGGAGTTTCTAAGTAATCACTTAGGAATGGCAAAGCTTACTTTGCGAGTCTGCGTTCTATGAAAGTCGAGAAAATCACCTACATTGGGAGGATGTCGCTTACCAAAACACTCATTGTTAACAAATGACTTAGAGCAAGCTAATCATTAATATATCATTTTATAAAGAAATGTTTGCTCGTTCATTCGCTGTATTTGAAATAGTTTTCGACCCGCTTAAGTTCATTCAAACTTAATTTACGGACTTCTATGAGGTTAACGCATAACTCTTAAGCCAGAAGTTCTACAAAAATTGTCAACACATTTTCAGAAAGTCACAAATTTTTGCATCGTTTTAAGCACTAGAAAGCTGTGATTGGTGTTAAAATGTAGGCAAATATCAGTTCTACAACCTAACAGAGCCGGATTTTTCCTTTAATATTTACTGAAAACTACTCGTTCTAAACCGATAGTTCCTGTTTTTCGTTATTTTATCAGAAGATCTTTCACGAAAAACGAACTAAAAAAATGTGGGCTTTGTTAAGTTGTAACGTTACATCTTGGCTACATTTTAAAACTAACCCGAGCTTTATAACGTTTGAAATGACGAAGAAATTCGGGACGCACGAACACTTATATTTTGGCCCATAATTTTAAGCTAGCTATTCCAGATTTCCTCTTCTGCAGGGGCAATTAAAAACTCCAGTTGGGTGAACACATATACATGGTACGTGGTATAATGACCACTAACTTTGAGAGGACCAATCCTATTTTCGTAGGGTCACGAAAACTCAAATTTATTCCGCCTTACTTTTACATTTGCACATCTTTTACAGCAGTAAGAGGATGTTAGTCTGTTTGAGCGTAGGTGTGAACAAAAAACATGTGGAGACCTATCCCACACCCAAAGGATTACTTCAACATTAGATTTTGTTATATATATGTATACCTTAATGCATTACGTTGTACACGATTAAAGTGTTCATTTACAATAAGCATTAATCTTCGTCTATGTCGTGCTTTAGTTAACCATTCAAAAAAGATAGTTTTACCACGATGTTGAAGATGAAATTGTTCACTTTCATGATACATTTGTTTCATATGACGACAATGTTGAATATACTATAATTGGAAAAAAAAGAAACTTGATTTTAGTTCAATATTTTGATAAATATTTCTACCAATATCCATGCATTAAGTGCATGTCTTTCGATAGTGTGATAATAAAATTGAACAGCAATTCGTTCAGATCGTTCTTCATTATGACGTTGATCAATTAATTGACGCCATAATAACCAAGCTTGAACAATTATTGTTCGAAAATAATGTCGTTCTGCAACAATCTATAAAGACAATAATATTAAAAAATTAATCGTATTCAATATTAAATTTTTCTACATTTTGTTCATTATCAATCAATCTTGAATGTGCTCTATTAAGCCAAGTATTAAAAATTTTTCGACGCATAGTTTTTTCTTCATGAATCGTTGCCTAACAAAAAACAAACGATTAAAAAAAAAAGAAAAAGAAAAATTAATTTAATTTAATTAACTATTCTCCAATTCATTTGATATCGTTCATTTATACGCGTTTGTACTTTCCAATACATATAATAAATTCGTAGATATCGTAAACTTAATAATGAAAACATTTTAATTAAAAATACGAAAAAAAAAACAGAAAGATTTTTCTACCGATAATAATCATCTGCTTGTTTTTCAAGTAATTTTTCATGACGTTCATCTGATATATTAGCACGTAGAACATTAAAATATTTACGTAATAATTTTGAATTAAAATATGCGTCAGCCGCATTAAGTTGAGCCTTTAAAACAAAAAAGAATAGGTTTTTATATAAAAAAATAAACACGAAAACATTTTTTTAAATTTATTTTACATGTTCTTGTCGACAATCATTAATATATCGTCTCCAACGAAACCAATATCGAATTGTAATTTTCATATGATAAAATGATTCAGCTTTATAAAATTCAGCATGCATATATATATTTTCACGTTGTTCTAGTCGATGTTTCCATATTCGATAATAAATACGTTTAATCTAGAGAACAAACAAATTATTTAAAAAAAAAAAAAGAAAAATTGAATACCATTCGAGCACGATGTTGTACAGCAATCCAATTTAAACGTTGTTTCATTCGACGTTTAATTACATATTGATAAAGAGCTGTCAATGCCGAACGCTTTAGTAAAAGAAAAATACAAAATGCAATAAGGAACTAGTACACATATTATAATGAAACGCTATTGATATGTGGTGTGTGTATTGAAACAATATCGTATGGATTTCTTCCAAAGACCATAGGACAATGTTCTACCACTCACGATCTCGTTGTTACATCACTAGAAGGAGTACACATTTTCACATCGATATTTCAGCACTCCTTTCAGATCATATTTCACGATAATTATAGAAATGTTGTCAGAGACTTTAGCTTTGTACACGTTTTATTTTGGCTTATGCAGATCTTAACGAGCTACGAATATCCTGACAAGATTTCATGTCCTTAGCTTATTGATGCAGAGATAATGGATTTTTACGGTAGTTTTTAAATAAATGCCGTGGTAACAGAAAAACTAATTTTCGAATTTCAACTTGGAACTTGACATATAGGTAGGCTTTGACGAGAATAGTTTTTTTTGTGAATACTTCAAAGCTTGTGGCTGTTTCTATTCTAAGATACAACTATGGTAAAAGCATGTCTTTTACGTCACTCATATTAACCGACAGATCTGATGACCTTATTTCAGGATAGAAGCAATTCAAAAGACCTGAAACATTCATAATAAACTCTTCTTGTTAAGGCCTGATTGTAAACAAAATGTCAAGTTGAAATTCGAAAATCACTTTCTCGTTTATCACTACATTCATAACTCATTTGGGTCTACATTATGCACATAGTTTCGACTCAATAGCAGTTTATTGATTGGAAGACTTTCCTCATTAGATAAAAATGAGAATTTTCGTTTTTATTCTATAGTAGATTAAAAAAGCTTAATTGTTGATCAGTATCATATCACTGCGTCGAAGTTTGAAAGTAAAGAAATAGATCGAAAACGACTATTTACAGGATGGGCTATTTTTAACTGTACATTTATCTTTAAATGAAGTGTCAATGTAATGACGATTTGGAACAATTCAGAACTCAAGTGAGATAAATTCGGATGGAATTTCTGTGTTAGAAATGCAAGAGATGGTGAAATAGTGAACAAGAATAGTTTTTGCTATAGCTACCATGAATTGCAGAGTCCTAGCTTTATCCACTATGATAAAAGTTCATTTTTACAAGTGTTTCGAAACATAAAAGACAATAGTATGATTCAGGATTGTATAGAAAAAAAAATAGTTTCACTTGAAATTGGCTGCAGTCAGAAAAAAATGTGATCAATGATAATCACAGAAAATGAATAATACTATCTCCACAAACTCTATATACACTTTTCAGCTGAAACATATTGCATTGTCATGCTGAAAAAAAGATACACCGAATTCTATCACACACGGTGACACTTGGATTTAAAGAATATCTAGTGATTATGATAATCATTCTAGACATTCATCAATAACTAACTGTTTGAACATTGAAGATAATGTTACGACAGAACTTCGCGAACTGATGAATTACTTTGGTGATGAATGTTACTCCACTAGATAGGTCTTATTGACACTAGACAAAGTCTAAAATGACTCATACCCATAGATCTTTCTGTTTGAGTTATGATTATTTTTGTGATTTTTTTCCTATGAGATCGAAAAAACAAAGTTCATTCTTATATTTATACCTCTGTATAGAAGATACTATTTTGAATGCAGTCTAAATACTCACACCTTCAAGAAGAAAGACTTACTAATGTAAATCCTTTTAGGCATTGTCTAGCCTTCATAATGAGGTAAAACTCATCTCAAAAGCAATGAATCACTTGCCAAGGTTTCTTACTAGATCAAGTCAATTATTAAGACAAAACAAAAAGAACTTTTGTTTTCCATTACCATAATTCGTCGGTCACTATACTGTTCAGCCATGTGCATTGTACGTTGTTCATCAGCCAAATCATGAATATCTATAAAACTTAATCAATATAGAAAACAAAACTTTAAAACAAAAAAAAAGATTCAAACATGATTTCCATTGTTCAAATCCCCATCGCATTAAAACTCTTTCTTGTAATTGAGCTAAACGATGTTCATGTTGTTGTATTAATAATTTTCTTGTTAATGCTTGTTTCCATTTAGAATAGATTCCTCCAACTAAACGTCTTTCATAATAATCATGAACACGTTCTAATTAAAAATTCAATAAAATATTTCAAAAGAGAGAAAATTTTTGTTCATACTTTTATGAATATTTTTTCTTCGTCGATATTCTATATAGGTTAGCCATGCATTAAAACAAACTCTTTGCAAATGAACACGATAATGATAATTAGATCGTAAACTTTTTTCATGTTCTTGTCGTCGTTGATAAGTATTCATTTGCCATATACGATAAAACTACAATAAAAATAAACATAGCTAAAGGCTTTTCCTTCTCCTCTAAAATCGTTTTCCAATACAGTTCATGGATTTTCATTCTGAAGATGTTAGACTAATAAAAATACACTATTAAAACAATTATCCGAGACCCATAGCAATATTGCAATCAGTAATGATTACCGGTCAGTATAGATTTTTTCGCATATCAAACCAATTTTACTGATATCAACGACTATTTCTATTAAGTGAGTATTCATCGAAGTACAACTAATATATTTTATCAATTCACTGCGATATCAAGTTATATTATCAAAACAAAATGGAATAGCTGTTCGTCGTTATAATTTATTAAACAGTTATTTTCATTTCGTATTATTTATATCATATCTTTTTCAGAGACAAAATAGAGAAGAAAGTAAACTTATTGTGAAATGTAGAGTACATCCAGAAGTGTTACGTAATTTCTGTAGTGATTCACAAGTATGTATGATTAATAGAGGAGTTGATTTGACTCTTACAGGATGAGAAATCTGAAAAATGATTCGTGCCAGTCTGACTGGTATCACTAAGGATAAAATCCTATCAGTTGCAACACTGAGTCATAGTGCAAAATAGGACTTTCATGCGTAAAAATGTTTTTTTCGATACACTTCAAGCTATGGCATTCGAGTTGCTCTCATTTCAAAGAAAACTTCTTAACACTTTGGATGAGAGACAGAGTTTTTTGTAATTTTATTTCATTTTTAGGACCGTCAAAATCCTAAAAGTCTTCAGAAGTTTTGAAGACATTTTCAAAAATCATTGGGACTGCTTATGATCCCAGTTTTATTTTTTCCAATCAGGCTTTAAATCATTTTCGATAATCTAGCTGTGTCGAAAATTTGAGCTCAACCAATATTATTCTCGCGGAGAGTAAGAAGTGATTAACACGAGACGGAGGTTTTCCTTGAAGAAAAATAAATTTTCATAGAAAACATACACGAAATAAAACTCTTTGATGATATTGCTTATTAGCAATAACAAATTGTTGTTGATGTGAACGTCGTTTATTTAATTGCATTTTCCATATATTCCAAGCATTGTGAATACGTTTATGACTAATATGTTCAATAGCTATTTGATCTTGTGAAGTAAAATTTAACCATATATGAAAATAAGTTTTTAATAATTGTCGATGACGAAATTCAATAGCTATTAATTCATTAGGATCATTTTTAATGATATTTCTCCATAATAGAAAATATTTCTGAAGTAATTTTTGTTGATAGAAAAATTTTATTCGACGAATATGGCAACCAAAAATTTTTTTTTGCCATAATATTGAAAATTTTCTTGCTAAACAATACCAACGTAAATCATCAATAGAACGATGTTGTGGTTTTTTATAAATAACAATTGTTGGTGAAGGTGAACGATAACGAGTTGAAATAGGTATACGACTTGGTCGTTTAAGAACTGTTTGTTGTTCTATAGAAATAAATAGAGAATAAATCGATAAATAAAATATTTTTCAAATTTTTAACCTTCTTTTAAATGATTTAAATGTGTACTAGCATGATTAAATGTTTCTGCTACTTGTGTCATATTTCTACGAAGATTTTCAGCTTTAAGCTTCATAAATTGCTGAAGTTCATCAAGTGTTTTTTGTTGTGGAAGAATTTTTTCACCATTAATTTGTAAATTATTTCGTCTTGTTGTTGGAATATATTCAATATGATTATTTAAATGTTGCATATGAGATTGATTTGTTATATGATCAATATTGATCGTTGTTGAAGGAACTGTATAAGATACATTTAATGGATGATGATGATGATTTGAGTCATTTTGATTTGTTAATTTTGGAATTCGTGGTGATGGTGATGTTATGTTAAAACGAACAGATTTTTTTCGAGGAGTTATAGATATTAATGGTCGAGAAGAATTTTGTTGTGGATCAAGCATGATTTTATTATTGATTAGTTCAATGATTACAAAGAAGGAACCACAAATTTAATCCGTTGAATCACTCTCCGGAATGGTAACCTAGAAACTGATTGACCATCGAGATGTATGATAAAAGATGTCGTTAGTCTCGTTCAATTCTAAAATATTTTATTAAGAACAAAATGTCTAATTGAATCATGCTTTTTGTTTTTCGCTTGGTAAGTTAGGAAGTTCTTCTAATAAACTATACAGGAAAACTAGATATAATCATACTTTTTATAGGAAATTCGTCAAGAAAATATTATTATCGATCGAATAATCCTCGATTCATGTATACTATGTGGTTATCTATTAAAATACGCTAGAATATATTAGAAATACACTATTGTAATATTATTTGTTCAGGATTTGAATGAAAAAAACCCATATCTAAAACTTCTTTAGCGTTTATCTCAAAATACAATTTTCTAGACAGGAAAATTGAAATAACTCCCATTCGACTCGGCGTATAACCGATGTTTTTTTAAAGTCTTAATCAGAGCTAACTTTTCATCACACAGATTTTTTATACTTAATTCCTGAACTGAGAAAAATGGGATTTACTGTCGATTCAGTCACCTTTTTTATGCTTCTTTTGAACACCATGTCGATTAAAATACTCATAAAAAATGAATCGAAGAAAGTTTCAAAATTCTGTCCTATAAAAAGTTACACACAGAGGCTAGTTTTAATTTGAAATCAGCCCGAGCTCTGTACTCCTTATAACGACGCAGTTATTTCGATTCTCCTGGAAGGTAGGTAAACAAGCCGCAAGTTCGGTCTAGTCAGGCATATCAGGTTGAAATTTTTACCACAAGCCTTTCTCAGTAGAACAAGCCGCTTCTGAAAATCTCAGCCCAAACGGTTCGTTCCTAGTGACACATTAATTCTGAGGGTGACCCCTTAAACAAAATTGAGACAATATATGATGATATGATATCATTAATATTGATTATTTGTTTATTTTTCTTTTCTTTAAACTTCTTTTATTTCTATAATTATAAATAGATATTAATTATATAGATTGTTTTCAAACAATTCTATTTTCAAAAGTCAATAGTATGATTAAGATGTTTTATTAGAATAGAACATGAATAAATCTATTTCGAAATATATCTTGATAACATTCTAATCGATCAATAAACGAAATAGTAGTTTTCTTCTTCGATATACAAACTTGATTCAAGCGCAAGCAGTTGTAATGCTACAATGCCAATATTGAACAGAAGCTTTCATAGCAACATTTATTCTCATTATCATCATCAAATGCTATTATTCTATAAAAATAATCGAATTATTTTAGATGATATGAGAGCACTACCATCATTGGATTTGGATCGTAAATACCTTTATTTCATTACTTACTCATTCGGATTTAGTAATCGTTAACACAGACTTAAAACAATATGCTTTGGAAACGCGCTATCGTAGCTTTTACTTCGTTGAATCAAAATCTAATGGATGTCCCATAATAAATGGTTCACTTTTATTTTCTATCTTTGAGATGTTTGACAATTGTTTGAAGTTCTACTTTTAGTTTTACTAGATATAAAATTTAATTCTCTACAAAACTGTCAATTTTGTCTTTCAAATAGATTTGTCCTGTTGGCGTAAAATGAACGAGACTAGAATTTCATATACACTAAAAGTGTAACTTTCAAAGTTTTCGAATAAATGTTGGATAAGGAAAATTTTGAAATAGAAAATGTCATAACATTGGAAAAAGCTCTCTTCTAACTAACGCAAGCCATTGTTTTCGATTGGTTTAAAGCAGTAGAAACGTTTGAAGTGTTCAAGCGTACATATACGCCATTTTATTCAGAATTAAATTCTGCATTCGATCGTACGAGAATCAGTATTTTATAGAACAGATCCATGACTTATGAAAACATAATTTTTCGTAATACACATAAAAATACAATTAAATGTTACTTCGAAGCGTTTACTCTTCTAAACAAAAGTACTTATAATCATACCAAGATCGTGAACATTTAGAGCAAAAAATTTCTGTTTCGTCTAAAATAAATAATTTACTTGAGACATCAGTCAAGACGAGCACATATTCACGCTAAAGTCTCACTCGAATCACGTCACAAAAACTTGAGTCATGTCAGACATTGATTCATACAAACCGGCTTTTATTTGCAGAAGAACAGAAAATCTCAGTTTCACAATTTAACAGAGGTTAATTTTATAAATTTTATGCTAGCATGACAAAAATTTATATTTGAAGGGCAAAGTCAACAGTTTTGCAGAAAATCAAATTCATTATCCAACGAAATCATTACTAGAATTTAAATATGAAATAAATCTTTTCACGATGAAATACTTTTATATCTGTTAAAATCATATTTGCATTTCATCTTCTTGATGCAATGACTTTTGTGTACATGAACACGTTTATATTCTACTTCATTATTATGTAAAAATTGACAAATTTTGTAAACTCTGTGATAAAATCAAAAATAAATACAATTAAATTGTTAATCGATGCTACTGTTTACAAGCATTTTAGATTTAGTTTTCTGCAAAAGTCAATGTGGACATATCTTAATAAGAGGAATGATTCTCAAGCAGAATAATAGTCTTCTTGTACATTGTTTATATTCTAGTAGACATACAAGCTGAAATTTTCCTGTTTTACAATAATCTCCATAGTATTCTCTTATTTTGCAGATCCACTGAGCATATTAGTTACATGGTATTAAAAATAAGGATAAAAGAAAGTGATCCTTATGACAGTAAATTTCGCTTTTCCCGACGGAGAAATCAAATAAAAAGATTTTTTTTTCTGTTTCATGACTAACTATTAGTAGGTCATGACTTTTTCATTCCACAAAACTCTTAAAATTTCCAGAGTTTGACATAAGAAAGTCTTCGAAAATCTTATTGTTTCATACTGATAGATTTCATTTTCGACAAACTTTTATTTAATCTAAAATTTATTGTTCATGCCATTTGAAATCATAGCGCTACTCCTCTGGAAAAATATTATTTTCCGACTTTGCAAATTAATATCATGGGCAAATTAGATAAAAGTTTAATCTTTTTATATATTCTTATAGATTTACGATCGATTTTTTGTGTGCAATCGATCTTACTATGATAGATCTTATCTGTTTACTTATGAATAAATGCATGTACATATAAACGAACGACGAGAACAAAATGTTTAGAAAAACAGACGTTAATCAAGGTCAAAAAAAAGGAGCAAACGAAATGAAACGATATTATAAAAAGAAAGAAAGAAAGGAAGATAAATAGAAAGATCGAAGTATTGTCATAGTACCATAACGATTGATGACCGTTATGCTTCACTTACTCTATGTTCTTTTCCCCTTTTTTGTATCGTGACCTATTTGCCTAGCACTGATTTTCTGTCTTTATCTGTGTTCTCTCATGTGTCACCGTTTCTAGTTTATAAAGCGTGTTCAATAAAAGGAAAGAAACACTTGTAACAGTGCAAATGACGCAAAATGCCGTCGTGTCGAAAAGCATAGGCAATCACTCTCATAATTCATCACGGTTAATATTTGCTTTCCTTACATTATATCATGTCTTTTTCCATTTTCGTATTAATGAAAAAACTGCACAATATTGATGTTCTTTATTCATTATTGTACGTTAATAATGAACATCTAAACAGTCTAGCACAAGAAAAAATCTTCAGTAACATTCTTAATTTTGTACCCATCGACAATGTTTCTTCAATTGATCGGCACAAAATTGATCGATTTTGTATCGATATATTGGCAAAAATTCGTCAAAATGTGGAATGTTTTATTCTTGAACCCGTTTCAATGAAACGCATTCTTCTTGCTGCCGATTATCCAAATCTAACTGAACTTAAACTTTTTAATTTTGATAAAGTCGCTTTAAATTATTTTACAAGTAAAAAAAATGATGTTAAATATAACAGACTATAGAATGTTTTATAATTTCTTATTTAGATGAATCACCTCTTCGATATATCTTTGAAGAAAAAATTACAAAACTTACTATAGAAAATAATGATCCATACTACAGGATAGGATCATTGGACAACTATAATAGAAATGTGTATCAACATATCTTGAAGTTTTTTAAAAATTTAAAACATCTGAGTATTATTGGAACATTGGATCCTTCATATCCACATCAAACTTTATCAATCTGTGATTCATCATCAACTGCTTTTTTCTCTTTAACTCTTACTTATTTATGTATCAATGTATACACATTAGATGATTGTCTTTATTTACTTGATGGTCGACTCAAACAATTAACTACATTTATTATTCGAATATCTATCATGGGCAAGTCTTTATCAATCATTCACAATATGGTAAGTTTTAACAAAGAATGTTAACCATTTAAATATTCCTTTTTTTATCGTATAGGATGATTTACCTAATTTGAAATGTTTTTCATTCAAATGTTGTCGTCCAATTGATAAATATGATTAGAAAATTTTACCTCTTCTTCATCGTATGACATGTTTGGAAAAATTAACTTTATATCTTCGTATAAAAAATCGAGGTACATTCATCGATAGTACTCATCTTCAAAATGAAATTCTTTTTTATATGCCACGTCTTCATTCATTTTCTTTTTATATAAGTACTTATGATGATACCGCTGATTTATTTCGTTACATGCCTAGTCAAGATATTCAACGAACTACTACAAATATTGGACATCAACGTATGACTAAAATCATAAATTATAGCACTAGTCGACAAGCTGTATGTTGTGTTTTCTCACTTCCTTTTGTATTTGATCATTTTCACGAAATTGGCAACATATTTCCAGATGTTGTATTCAAATATGTTACGTATATGATGGTACAAGATGTAGTTCCATTCAATCATGAATTCTTTATTCGTGTTGCTCGATCTTTTCCATTATTGGGTCAATTGCGCATTTTAAATCTTGAATCACAATCGGCGTGTAATGTTAGCACACTTTCATCTGATGATAGTCAAGCATATTCAGTCGTTAAATACCCTCATCTTACTTCACTTGACGTGGTAAAGGCAAATATTGACTATCTTGAAGAATTTCTAAATGAAACAAAAGCATCTGTACCATGTCTAACTCGATTAATAGCTAACTATAATGACTTCAAAATTGTCACAAAAAACTTTACACAAGAAGAAACAAGACGCAATTGTATGAAGATAACACAATGCATTATGATGAACAGTTCGCCATTTGCGGCAGATTATTATCATTACTTTCCTTCGTTATATCGATTATAAATGAAATTCTGCTTTGATTTGTTCAATAAATTGAAAATCATAATAAATGGTAGATTTTGATGAACGATATTAGTAAGATATAAAGAAATATCGACTATTAATGATATTGTACTAACAGTTAATCTTACCATGATGATACTTACAAAGAGAATTATAGAAGATACTCTGTAAAAAGTTCTAAGAATCAAAGAATTATGTTTTCGTATGTTTGCACATTTTAAAATAAAGCTTTAGGCAAATTAGGAGAGCTCCCTCCTCCCCTTAGACAAATGAAGCAAAAGACAGTTTAAAAGATCTCTAAAAAATGATTTTTTTAAAATAATTCTTGTAGCTCTATTAACAAACAAAAAAACATCGGTTATAAGCTGAGTCGAGTGGGAGTTATTTCAATTTTCCTGTTTAGAAATTGTGTTTTGAGATAAACGCTAAAGAAGTTTTAGATATGGTTTTTTTTCATTCAAGTCCAGAACAAAGAATATTACAATGGTATATTTCTAATATATTCCAGTGAATAACGGGCTTTATGTATATATATGGAATATTCAATTTAATTTGGACTAGTTTTTTTTTTGAGATACGGCGCATAATCTAATCCGTCATGTTAATATGACAGATATTTTTAACTTGAAAAGGTCAGTAATCTCGTAAAAAACTGAATTTTTCATCTAACTGTTCTTCTCCAATTAAAATTACTAATTCAATTGATTAATATCATCTCATAATGACTAATGATGGATTTGACGTATTCTTTTGCTATGATGTAAATACGACATGCTTTTGTGTTCTTAAAGGATTAGTGTTAATGAAGTCGTGTTGCGCTGCCTGTGATTGTTTCTATACTATACAGTTTGATGGTCACTAACAGTAGTTCATAGGTACTTATTGTACGTGAAAACATTTTTTTCTCAATTGATGCTGCAGGTTACGCAGATAATTCTAAAGAAAAGTTTTTATTCAAATTTTATTGTGTCCTAAAACGTTTCCTTAGGAATTTTGTATTCTCAAATTGATGATTATTTACGACTTTGTTTCACTTTTATTATGCGTGCAATTCTAATCATGTTGTCATTATGTTTCCGATTGCATGACATTTTACGATGTCGGAGAAAATATTTTTTCAATTTTTTTTTGTTTTTACCTTTGAAAAATTTCCTTCAGTGAGTCAATCGCATCAAGTTTATATAACAAGCTGTGATTTGTTCTTTTGATTTATTTTTATTTGTTTAGTACGTTCAACAACGAGTATTTTTTCATCAATTAAAGAACAAAAAAGTCTGCTCTATTAATGCGTTATTTTGTTCCTACTGTTGTTTATACGACAAGTTAATATTAGAAAAAAAAATCCTTCTTGTATAGACATCTAAGAAACCTGATCGATGTTTACTCGATCGTGAGAAACATGGGGAACTTCTACTAGTTAAAAATATCAGTGAAAAGGTCAAAAAAAATATATTGCTGCAGAGCGATAATCGCAGATTTGGATTCCATTTTTCGTCGTTAATATTAATTATTAGTTTAAAGAAAGAAATGAAATTAACATTCACTAGTATCACAATTATATTTTTTACGGTGCTGCTATTTGTCATTATTGAACCAAGCTACCAATACGTTTATTCATGTAATTCAAGCGAACCATGTGGATGTTCTTCTAATGCAGCATCCGTTACTCGCATTGTTGGTGGAGAATCAGCAGGAACAAGTACTTGGGGTTGGGCTGTATCTATTTTTATAAGTGGTACTTCATTATGTGGTGGAGCTATTTTGTCAAGTTCATGGATTATTACAGCAGCACATTGTGTAAATGGAATTGCAGCATCACAAGTAACTGTCTATGCTGGCTCGAATACTCGATTTTCTGGTCAATCTCGGGTTGCATCTATTATGTTGAGCAGAAAGTTCGCGGTCACTTGCAAAAAAGATCTAATCGGATAAGATGATCTATCCAGCATTGAGAAAGCAAATATACCAAATTGTAGAAAATT